CTGACTCAGACAGCTGTTGATTTCTCTTGCGGGTGATGATCTCCCGGGCATCAGGAGTTGAATTTTTTATTTCCCACCGTCTGTTCACTCCTGCGGGTACTTTTGGTATTCCTCTTGGGCAGAAGAATCTTGGACCAGTCCAGGGTCCCCGCTGCCTTGTCCTTTGGATGCGGAGTTGGCTGTTGACTGGCTTCCTCTTTTCTAGAGGGGTCTTTCTTGCCGACTGACCTTTACTTAGGCCAGCCTTGCTCTTGGTTATCAGATCCTTGATTTCACCCTTGAAACTAGTCATGAATTTCATGAGTGTGTCCCGGGTGACTGGAGTGGATCCACCTGCCGTATGGGTTTCCCTTTCCGGCTGACCAGGGATTCGGCTTGTACCCGCCTGACTTGCACCCCTTTCTAGAGTGTCTCTTGGATGGAGGCGCTTGGTAATAAGAGATCCATCTTTGGCTATGTAGGTTTCGACTTGAGGATCATCGTCCTCTTGATCAGTAAAGACCTCCGGCTGGTCAACCGGTTGGTCAGGATATGGTACAGACTCTTGAACCATTCTTGAGGTACTCTCCCCACAGACGGCGCCAAATGTTTTGGGTGTTTTTGTCCCTCGGGAGAGTTACATCACAAAGATTGGTCCGGCTGAGTTGTACCTGCAAAAGCAACGGAGACTCTGGGTGGTTGGAGCTTCGCCTCCGAAGATCAAGTTAGGACTTGAGTAAAAGGAAAAAGTGCGGAAATTAAAGTGGGATCTTCTCGGATTCTGAGATCAGGTTTTCTCTGATGAGAGAGAAAATGAGTGTAATAAATGATTGAATTGTGTCCCCAATTAGGGGGAATTTCTCCCTATTTATAGGGTAGTTGGTAAAAGTGCCCCTCCCTAGGTCACTATGACCTAGGTTTTATGGGCTGCACCGCAAAGTGCAGATTTCTCGGGAATTGGGCCTTTGAAGGCCGCAACTCTGATTATTCTCTAAGGTTGCCACGTGTCAGCTGGTGAGTGGCCTATGGTGGCCTTCTAGAGCTTGACACGTGAGCCTCTCTCATTGGTACACGTGTCCAGGGTATTTTTACCCTAAACAAGTATCATGTTAGGGTTAAAGCTTTGATTTTTATTGTTTAGTGACATGCTAGAGTTTGTTATTAATCTTGTTAGTATTATGCCTAGGATCTTGCTATTATTGTGCTTTATTTTTAACATGATTTATTTTAATTATGATTATTATGATTATTTAATTATGATTATTATGATTATTTTAATTGTGATTATTATTATGTTGCTTGATATGATATTATTATTTTTATTGCTTAATCACGCCTTTTATGCATGTTTAAAGGGAATTTGTACTTGTAATCACGCTTAATAAGATAATTAATAATCTTGTTTAGGGTTAATTTGATTATAATTCAAGTGATTGCCAATAATAGATTTATCTGTGCATTAATATTTAACCAACATAGATAAACAGGTTTAGGGTAAACCTATTGATTGCATGTTAGTCAGAAAGCGTACATGAATACGAGAAGAATAAAGTAGAGGCCTATTATTAGGGCAGGTTCTTTCTCTTTTAGATTGGATTTGTACATTCATCCCCGAACTTCTAGTCTTGGTTCCAGACCTATTGGAGTTGACAATCTCTTAGATCGTTAAAGGGGTGTAATTTTCACCCTGTGAACGGTTTACAAGTTCCTAAAACTTGTTGGCGACTCTTTTGCTCTAGCTTCCTTTTTTTTGGACGTCACCATGCTTAAGTGTATGATCACAATAGGGTTCAAGTTTGGGTAATGCTTGAAATATTCCCTACAGTTTGTTGGTTTTAAAACTTATTTATAACTGATTTAGTTTTTCCGCTGCTAATTTCTGAACACGTGGCGGTAGCACGCCAATAATTCTCTTGAATATTGTTCAGGGTCCTCATAGGTTTAAAGAGAGAATTATTAGGGTGTTACAATGTTGCAAAGATAAATATCCCTGCAAATTAAATACATTTCAGTACAGTACACAAGGCTTCAAGGCAAGTAGAAATTTATGCAGACTAAATTGGGATTAGAAGTTAACTGATTTCATCAAGTGAAATCATGAAAGACAATTGTCTCCTTGTCTGCATGCTTTATCAAATATTAATTAAATAAGAAAATATTAATTAAGGTAGGGGTTATTTTCCAGCAGCTTTGGGTGTCGAGTTTGTGAAAAGGGACGGAGGGGGTGAAGGTGGTAGAGCGGGCTGGGTCGTCGGCGTGAAGGGAGAGTGTCGTCCGATGGTGGGGAGGGGGGAAAGGGTGGTGGCTGCTGGTAGGGGTTGAAGAGAGCTGAGGGTTTTTTTTTTAATTTTTTTATTTGAGCTTATTTTTAAGGTTTTTTTAAAGAAAAAAATTGTTAAAAAAAGTTGGCCACTGATATTGTGGCACTTGTCACTTGTAATATGTTAAACAGGTTACCAACAAGTAAAATAATCAAAAAGTCGTTTTATTTATGGAAGACCGGCGAAAGATGGTTTTATTTCAGGCAAATTTCCTTATTTAAGGAATATGAACCTTTTATTTTTCTCCTCCACAATTAGCTCTCATTTGTCCTAAAAAAACAAAAATGTAATTTTAATAATATGGGTAAAATCTTCATCAATACTTTAGTTTCTCTCTCCTCCCAAAAAATGGTGTTTCTGACTCACTCCACTCTCTCTATCTACCCTTCACTTTCCTCCCCAAAGCTCCTTCTTTTAATCACACATTTTCTCTCTCCCAAATGATGAAGACCAAGCCACAATTTATAGCTCAAACCAACAACAATTGCGGCGCTGCTGTTGTCTGGTTCAAGCATGGCCTTCGTATCGACGAGACGATGATCATCACGACATTGTTTCCGCCACTTCCAACTACTTTAATGTTGACCCTATCTACGTCTTCATCCTCGTTTTTATCCTGTTAAGTCTATTTCTCTTTCTTTTTCTACTTGATTTTTTATTTCTTTGATAAAATTTCTTTGCTAAAATGAACCTTTGCTAAAATGAACCTTTACTATAACAACTGAAATATTCAGTTATATGATATTAAATGTACAAATTTTTTTTTCTTTAGTTTCATCAATGCCAAACCCGTCTAAAATAATAAAATTTCGGGCTGATAAAATTTACCCAAAACCAACCTAGAATTGGGTCGAGTTGGGCCACGCTGGCTAGACTAAGCATGATCAAGTCTAGAAATTTAATTCCTATGAATCTATAACTAATATTAAAGTAGCAATTACTGACATCATTTATGCTTCTCCTTTAATTTTTTACCACCAAAACTTATTTTTTCTCTTTTACATTTTTTATGGAAAACTAAATATTGACTACAAAATAATTTAATACATTATACTATAAAAATAACTCTTCACAATTTTTTTTGAACGGGTTCACAATTTTTTTTAATAAACCTTTTGACAACCATTTACCCATTGGAATATATTTATGTTTTTTTTTTAATGGAGTATTGTTTTATATAGCTTTTTTGCACTATATACGTGCATATTTGGGAGCTAATCCAATACAAATTTCAATATTAACCAAACAATACTTATAAATCAATGAGTAAGTCTAAGCGCATAGTGCCTATGGGCGAGCTATGTAAATAGGAGGGTAAGGAAGTAATTTCCGCTGATTCAATTTTTGCTTCTAGAAAAACCTGATTCTCTAGTAGTACATTATAATGTACCAGTATGCATATATAATGTACCACTAAAGTATAAGTTGACTGAATATTACTTTTGTGGAGTATTACGAGTGTAGTGGTACTTTTTACCATCCTATAAGTTTCAACTTCCGGAAAAAGCTGACTCTCTAGTGGTACATTATAATGTATCATTATGTACCATTATGCATAGGGGTGAGCATAAAAAATTCCAAAAACCGGAACAGGAACTTGTTGCAACAGGTTCCTCAAAATGAGAACCGGAACCGGAACCTGTTGAACAGGTTCCTGGAAATTGGGAACCGGAACCGGAACCTGTAGATTCCGATTCCGATTCAGGGTACCCTGCATTATAATATACTGACTAACTTTTTCGCGGAATTTTTAATAAAAAAACTGGTTGGTCACTAATTTATAATGTTTGCAACTTGCAAATAAGACAAACTAATAGTAGTTGTCTAACAAATTTAATATATATATTTTTATAATTGTAATTTTGATATTTATTATTTAAAAATTGAGTAAGAATTAGTGTATAATTTGAAATTAAGTAATACTTTTATCAGGTACAGGGTACCCTACAGGTTCCGGTTCCAAAAAATTGAGAACCTGAACCGAATACTATTACAACAGGTTCTCTAGTTTGCTACCCGGAACCGGAACCTCTTGTACAGGTTCTGGTTGCGGAACCTGCGGTTCTTAACAGGTTCCAGTTCTGATTCAAGGTACCCTGATTTTTTGCTCACCCCTAATTATGCATGTAAAATGTACCACTAAAGTATAAGTTATTTGAATAGTACTTTTTAAATGCAAAATTGTCATCCTATATGCACTGAAATCAATAGGCGTTATATTAAGACTAGAATAGACCCGGTCTACGATAACTTATTGTAGACCCAACCTTCTAGTGTACCATACGAATGTGATTATATCATACGAAATGTGATTATATTATTACAAAAGTGATTATGTCATCTTGAAACTATTATTTAAATGTATCACTCAAAAAGTGAATTTATCATTATAAAAAGTATCAAATAGCAAATTACATCATTCAAAAGATGATTTTTAAATTTTATCATCCTAAAGATAATTATATAATCTCATTAAATGGTTTAATATGAGATCAAAATATGACTCACAAAAAGATAATTATATCATCTAAATAAGTGATTATATCATCCAGAATGTGATTATATTATTTAAAAATGTCAAATTTTGGGTCTACAATAATTTATTGTAGATCGGGTCCATACAAAAGTACAAGACCAATTGTAGGCGTTATACGCCGCGACTTAACCTAAATCAATCGCCAGTGCTAATATTTTCATAAATCAATGCGATGACGTCTTGCCGATTGCCGGTTGCCGATTGCGTTTATAGATGTATCGTAGGTGTCTGTGTCATTTAGTTTCTTGTAATTTTTCACTTCTCAAGAACGACCACAAACAAGAGGTCTCTCTCTACCTCAACCCCAAAACCCCATCCCTTTAAACTTAAACAACCTACAAAGTACAACTACAGTAAACCTATTCTCGAAATTCTCTCTCTTTCTTATCAATGGCGTCTTCTTCTGCCAATATATGGGTGATGCTTGGACTGGGTTTGGCTGGTACTATTTTACTTATGACACAAAAGCTCAAAAAGGCCGTCAAAGAAGACTTTGGAGCATTCATTCAGAAACTAAAACTTGTTCCTCCTCCTCAACCTGCTCCTCCGAAAGCTCCTCACCCCCTTACTACTCTTACTTTCGCAGTTTCTGATTTGTAAGTGCTTAATTTATTCGTTTGTCTGGTTCAAATTATTCCTACTTAAATATTCTTTAATGGGTTTAATTAGTGTTAATCAATAAGATATTTGGAAATTGTTTGCTTAGTTGAGATTTTGATAAGTTTTGGTTAGTGTTTTATTTATTTATTTATTTATTATTAGTTTAGAATTCAAGGAATTTGATGGATAATTTTTGTGTTTTTGATGATACCAATTAGGCAATTGCACCACTATGTTGTTTGTTTAGGTGGGTTCTTCTAGTAAATTATTTGCAGAGGTATATGTGTTATTTTGTAATTATGTTGTTATTTGTTACGAGTAATTGCTTTTCATTGTGATACTTAGGGAGTGTATGGTTTGTTGTAAAATGAGTTCATGGAAAATGGTTTTCCCATTTTACCTCATTTTCCTTTGCTTGGTTTGTGAAACGGTGTAAAACAATTTTTCTAATGGTGGAAAACTAGCGGAAAACATTATTCTTTACAATACACGGGAAACCATGTTTTCCTCCCTCTTATTTTCTTTATTCTCATCCATCTTTACCTTTCCACCCCATTTGCAATTTCCCTGTAACTTTTCTGGTAAGGAAACAAATAAATGAATATTACGAGTAATTTGTAATTGTGGAATTCCTCGAAAATATGTTTTCCAAGAAAAATTGCTTTTTCATTGGAATTGGTTTTTGTGTCAAACCAAATAGAGCCTTATCATTAAGGTCATTGCCATTTAATTTCACGTATCGTTACTGGAACAACTTCATTTCTTGTCATTGTCATATATCGAAGGTCATTGTCTTTTCAAGCACTGTAATAAGATTTTTTTTCCCCTCATATTATTGCAGAATTGACATTGAGGGACATGTGACCGGCTTTGGTAATCCGGATTGGGCTAGGACTCATGAGGCTGTTTCGAGGACTGCTTCTGTGGTGTCAACTCTGGTTGACGGTGGTGCTACATGTATTGGGAAGACTATTATCGATGAGATGGCATACAGGTTACTCACTACTTTTTCGGTTTTCTGCAAATTCTTATATGGCATTATGTGGTGCATATTCCATAAACGTTATTATGGAGATGATATTTTTCGTAGAATTTTAAAACACAGGAATAACTAAATGCTTATGGTTGTAATTGAATTTGGCCAACCCTATCATATTGGGATCAAGGCTTTGTGGCTGCAAGTGTATCTATACTCCAATAATAATATAAGATTTCTGAGAAAACTGTGCCTCTTACTCTTTATCTTAATAGTTGGATGAGATCACAGAGTATGACAATCAATTCATTGATATCGTGTCCTAGTTCTATTGAAAGAACCATTGATATGTGTTGAAAGTGTTTTCTGGTATCTGTATTGTTTAGAAATCTAGTGTTTGCAAGATCATATCTTAGAAGGGCATTTTTGTGTTTTGTTTTGCTCACATTCACCACTTAATATTTTCAGTGTTAATGGAGAAAATAAGCACTATGGTACACCAACAAATCCTGGAGTACATGATAGAATTCCTGGGGGATCTTGTAGTGGAGCTGCTGTTTCTGTTGCTGCTAACCTAGTTGACTTCTCTGTGGGTGAGCTTTATAAGAGTTACCTTTTCTGATATGTAACTCTTGCATCTTAGCAGGCTGATGTTAGAATGGGAAGTATATTTGCTAATGGTTATATAAATATGACTGAGTGTGTAAAGATTTGTCGTATTCTTTTGAAATAGTGGAATTCTTTATCTTAGATAGAAATGTGTTTTTTTTTTTTTGAAAAATGTAATCTAATAATCTCACCTTTATTCGGTCTTCCATAAAAAAATCCCACCTTTTGAAATTCCACCTTTGACCCTCATCTTCAATCAACAATCCCTTTTACTTACATCCTGTAAACATGTTATTTTTTTTTTTTTAATTATCTTTTATTTTTTTCTAAATCTCTCCTTGGGCCACCGATCCACCGCCATAACACCAACTGAATTGCAACCCTACCATGGCTACCCTCACCCCCACCCACCACAAAACTCTCTAGCCACACTAGAAAACCCTTTAACCACCCTGAAAACCCCACCCACCTTGAAAACACAACCTAAGCCACGAAAATCACCACCCCAAGCCACGAAAATCACCACCCCAAGCCACAAAAAACACCACCAGCCTGAAAAACATCACCTCAAGCCCCGATACACCACCACCTATCCCCGAAAAACACCACATTGTTGCACGGGGACGCCTTATGACTAGTGTCCCCCGTCCCCGGGACGTCACGGGTACGGATACACCTCGGGAACGACCCCGGGGCGCGTCTGACTTTTTGGGGACGTTTTCGGGACGCGAGTGAGGCGAGTGAGGCTGAACGCCGTCCCCAAGTGTAATTTTGGGCATTTTAAATACTTGTTTTGAGTTTGTCGACCCATCAATTCATAGTTTCACACTTCAAAACTCTCGGCGGTGGAATTTGGCAGTGGCGGCCTTCGAAAATTCCCCTCTCTTTTTCCCCAATTTTGAAACCCTAATTTCCCAATTCAATCACTACCCATGCTGAACTCTTCATAATGCATGATTAGATTATGTTATTTAAATTGTGGGATATAAATTGTAAAATTTGAGAGTGATAATGGAAGAATAAGGGCAACAATGGTGGAGCTTTCGACAATGGTGGGCAATGCAGCGGAAGAAGTATTGGTAGACATTTTTATTTTGTTTTAATGCTTCACAAAGTTTCATATGTGGTTGGCCACACCGTACGACCGACCACAATTTTTTTTTATTTACAAATCTTCTCTCTCCTCTCTCTGTCCTCTTTACCCACGCATCATGCATCACCATTAATTCTCCACCCATTCTCCATCCATTTTCTCTCTCCTCCTTCCCAAATTCAGCTACACTCATTTTCTCTCTCCTCCTTCCCAAATTCAGCTATAGGTTTCTCATTAATTCTCCACCCATGCTGCCACTTTCTCATTCTCCTACAAGCTAGAGGTTATTAAGGTTAAATTCAGCCATTTTCATGGCCAAAGTTGGCCTTTTTAACCATATTCAGAGTGAAATTTGAAGCCATTAAAATTTTAAGGTATTAACTCATTTAATTTTTTTAAACGATTATAATTTTTTTTTTCATGGTGTTTTTAGTTTATGGCTGTCGTGGTGTGGGTGTGTTTGGGTGGGTCTAGTTGGGTAGGGATCTAGTGGTGGGTAAGGTTTGGGTGTGGTTTTGGTGTGGTTTGGGTGCTATCGTGGTGTGGGTCTGGTTGGGTGTGGTTTAGGTGTGGTTTGGTTGTGGGTGTAATAAACACTTTAGCATCTTTGCCCGAATCCTCTTGCCGCACTCTTTCAATTGCACCTTTTGAATCTGAAAGAAATCAGAATATTTGACCATCCTTTATCAGCAATGATGGACATGATGGACAACCCTGTATGTATTGCTTTTTTTTTTTCTCCCCAAAGGCACTTGTGTTTTTTGTTGGAAGCCAATGATCCAATTGCCATTTGAACCCTGACTTTGGACAATTACTTTGGACAATTATCCTGACTTTTTAGCTACTTTGGACAATTAATCACTTTGGACAATTAATGGGTTTAACTACTTTCGCAGTTCACTGGGAAAACTTTGGATAATTCCTAGAATTAATTACTTTCGCAGTTCACCGGGAAACTTTTGATGGCATTCATAGCATTTTTGAAATCAAATTTTTTGTTTGAAGTGAAGTTTGAGAAAATGAAATCATCCAAGCGAGGGTTACCAACATGGATAGGAATACTAGTGCAAACATTCAAGATCTGCTGCGGGATTACAAAAGAAAGATTACCAAAATTCCATTGATTAAGCATAATATTCTCTTCCCCGTTATTTAAAGGCCCTTGAATCATACATCTAAGAGAAGAATTACCCGTCTAATTATCATAACAAAGAAGGATGTGTCTCCCTTCCCCCACTCCCCATTGAATATAACTTTCCCATACCCTTCCAGAGATGTGAGCCGTACTTAAAAGATATGAACAGATTATTACTCTTAGTGTACTTATCTTTTAGCACTCTCATAGCAAGGTTGTTATCCCGATTTAACATTCTCCACCAAAGCTTTAACATGTAAGCCCTATAAAGAGTACTAGCTATAGGAGTTATAACAACTTAAGAATTGCTAACTCAAATATTAATAAGGATTATAAGAAAGAATTCATATGGGTTACAACTCGAAATAACAAAATATACTTCTTTGAATTAAATTACATCTCCATATATCCCCCCTTTAATTTCTCTCTTATCATCTACCTTCTTTTATTTCTCCTTCCTCTCATTCCAATGAAAAGAACAACTCTATATATATAACTTATGAATTACTAAACAAACAAAGGACGAGAATTATTCTCATCTTGAACAACAACTTATTTAAGCCAATGCTATTAACAACAATCTAATAATAAAAAATGCTATTTTAAAGTTTGTATTTTGAACACACCCCCTTAAACTTTAAATTTCATCCTGAACATATTTCTCAATCTATTGAATGTGTCTAGAGATAGAGGCTTCGTAAATATGTCTGCATCTTGCTCATATGTATTACAATACTTCAGTGTGATATTGTGATTGTTCCTTGTTTAACTTGTTCTCGAAGAAAATGAAATCGAGTATCAATATGCTTGCTTCTCCCATGTTGTACTGGATTCTTAGCAAGTTTTATTGTTGACACAATGTCAACATACACTATCGTAGACTCCTCTTGAGCATGACAAAGTTCTTTTAGGAGATTTCTTAACCATAATGCTTCACACACCGCAGATGCTATATATTCTGCTTCACAACTTGATAATGCCACTACTGGCTGTTTTTTAGAACTCCAAGTAAAAGCAGTTGATCCTAGATAAAATGCATATCCTGTTGTACTTTTTCTCTCATCTAGATCTCCAGCCCAATTGCTATCAGAATAACCAAATAATTTTGCTTCATCTCCATAAGAATAGAACATTCCATAATCTAATGTACCTTTTATATACCTTACGATTCTCTTTGCAGTGCACCAATGTGACTCTTTCGGTGTCTCCATGTATCTACTAACAAGCCCGACTCCATATACAATGTCTGGCCTAGTTATGGTTAAATATCTTAGGCTTCCAACAAGACTCTTGTATAAAGTTGGATTAATTAATTTTCCTTCTCCTGATTTCGTCATTTTATTCCCGTCGCTACAGGAGTGCTCATAAGTTTGCATGAGTCCATCTTAAACTTTTCAAGTATTTCTTTCGCATAAATGAAAATTCCATCTTCAGATTGCTTTACCTCAATGCCTAGAAAGAAGTTCATTAGCCTATCATTTCAAATTCTTTGAACATTGCCGCTTTGAAATCATTAAACATACTTTGGTTGTTGCCGGTGAATAATAGATCATCAACATAGAAACTTACTATAAGAATATCATCACCATTCTTCACATACACAACATGTTCGTATGGACACTTAATAAAACCATTCCGGATAAACATCCGTCTATACGTGTATTCCAAGCTCGTGGGGCTTGCTTTAAACCATAAAGTGCCTTTTTCAAACGAAGCACTTTATTTTCTTCTTCTTTGATGACAAAACCGTCTGGTTGTTCCACATAAACTTCTGACTTAACATCAAATTGATATATCTTCCATTTGTGATGTGCGACAAGTGAGATCATCATTAATACAGTGCCTAAACGAGCTACATGAGCAAATACTTCATCATAATCAACACCATACTTTTACTTGTATCCTTTTGCTACAAGTCTTGCTTTGTATCTTTCAATGCTTCCATTTTACACCTCTTTTTATCTTATAAACCCATTTTACACCTATGGCCTTATGGCCTTCTGGCAATGTAGCCAATTCCCATGTATCATTTTCCTCTATTGACTGGATTCCTCTTTCATAGTAGATCTCCATTCCTCTTCTCCTAATGCTTCTTCAAAATTAATGGGTTCATGGTCTGCATATAAGCAGAATAAATCAACTTCATTAACTTCATTTGTTTCTTCATATATGTCTATGAGAGTTCTCATTTTAACCGGTGTTTTTGATGATGAGTCTGATCTTTCAGTTGATGGTGATGATGAATCATTATTATTTCTTATGTTCCTCGATTGAGTTTGTTCATAATTCTTTTCTGTAATATCATTATACTCTTCAAACACAATATTTCTTTCTCCTTTTCCTTTTCTTGATCATCCCATTTTCATGATTCTCCTTCACTAAAGATTACTTCTCACTCTCAATCAACTTTCCACTGATTGGATTGTATAATTTATAAGTTTTGGATTGTGAATTGTATCCAATGAAGATACATTTCTCACCACGATCATCTAACTTCTTTCTCTTTGCCTCACCACTCCATGCTTCTTATGGTGTCATATTCTTTACACTCTTTGTAGGACAACGATTTAGAATATAGGTTGTCCATGCAACAACTTCTCCCAGAGGCAATCCTCTTTCTTTTAAAATGCTTCTTATCATGTCTAGTATTGTTCGATTCTTCCGTTCGACAATTCCATTTTGTTGAGGTGTATAGGAGGCTGCAAATTGTTGTCTAATTCTTGCATCTCTATAGAAATATTTTAATATATTTGATGTATATTGGCCTCCTCGATCAGACCTAAGTGTTTTCAACTTACATCCGTTTTCTAGCTCAACTCGAGCCTTAAATTGTACGAATGTATCAAATGCAGCTGACTTTTCCTTCAGCATATACACCCACAATTTTCTACTATAATCATCAATGAAGGTAATAAAATAGCGATTACCTCCCAAAGATATTGGCTCCAATGGTCCACATATATTTGTGTGTACTAATTCTAATGGTGCTTTAGCCCTCCATGATAATCCTTGTTGGAATGGAAGTCTAGCTAGTTTTCCAGTTTTGCGCATTTCACAAACTTGTTTAGGGTCTTCTATGGTAGGTAATCCATGCACCATATTCTTTGATTGCAAAAGTTTTAGGCCATTGAAATGCAAATGCCCAAAACGTTTATGCCATTTCCATGACTCATTCTCCATAACACCATAGAAACATTTTTGAACCTTTGTGTTAAGTTGCAATGGAAACATGCGATTCTTCGCCATTTTTGATTGAGCAATAATTCTTCCAGTATTATCTTCTTTTAATTGAAGATTATTACCCTCCATATGAACAACATATCCTTTTTCTAAAAGTTGCTCAATACTGAGAATGTTACTTTGCATATTAGGTACGTAATAAACATTAGAAATAAATTCTTCATTTCCATTCTTAAGAAAAAATCGTATTTTTCTTTTACCTTCAACTTGTAGTTTGGATGAATCTCCCAAACTCACATTACCTTGAATCTTTTCATCAAGGTCTATGAAAAATTCTTTTCTTTCTCTCACACATATGGTTGCTAGCTCCAGAATCGAAAAACCACATGTCTTGCTGGCTTCTTCATGTGCTAGTTACAATGTAGGACTTTTTTCATTGTTTCTTGATGACTCAGCAAAATTTAATCGATTGCCTTGATCCTTTTGTTTGTTCCAACACTCACATGCACAATGTCCATATTTTTGACAATTGTAGCATTGATTGTCTTTTGATTTACCGCCAAAGCTTCTCTCATTACTTTGGTTGCGAGGTTGATAGTTATTACGACCTCTTCCTCGTCCACGAAATCCGCCTCGTCGATTTCCACTTCTTTGTTCATTTAATGACAACTTTGATTTAAGTGCTTGCTCTATAATACCAGGTTCATCATTCTTCTGAATTCTTTGTTCATGTACTTGAAGAGACCCCATAAGTTCTTCTATTGATAATGAATCAATATCTTTTGATTCTTCTATCGTAGGTAATATATGGTTAAATTTTTTATTGCATGATCGTAGTACTTTCTCAACAATCTTTTTATCTTCAATCTTTTCTCCATTTAATTTCTGTTTGTTAACATTTGTAAGTAGTCGAGAAAAATATTCAGTGATTGACTCATTACTATTCATTTTGATTTCCTCAAATTCACCTCGTAGTGCTTGTAGGCGAATTTTTCGAACTCTCTCGACTCCTTTAAATAAAGTTGCAAGATTATCCCAAGCTTCCTTGCTTGTGGTTGCATTTGATATTTTTACAAATGTTTCACGGTCTAAACCTGCTTAGATAAAAATAGTGCTCTTTGATCTTTCTTCTGATTTTCTTTCAACTTATCTTTCTTCTCTTTAGTTAATGTCGCTTTTGTTTCATCTAATGGATTTTCAAACCCATAATTAACAATTTCCCACAAATCTTAGGAACCAAATAATGCTTTCATTTTGATGCACCAATCTTCATATTGGTCTTTTGACAACTGGGGTACTTGTGGTTGAACAAAGTTTGTAGACATTTTGAGATATTGCAAATAACGTGGCTCTGATACCAAATGTAGGAGTTATAACAATTTACGAATTGCTAACTCAAATATTAATAAGGATTATAAGAAAGAATTCATACGGGTTACAACCCGAAATAACAAAATATACTTCTTTGAATTAAATTACATCTCCTTATATCTCCCCTTTAATTTCTCTCTTATCATCTACCTTCTTTTATCTCTCCTTCCTCTCATTCCAATGAAAAGAACAACTTTATATATATAACTTCTGAATTACTAAACAAACAAAGGACGAGAATTATTCTCATCTTGAACCACTACTTATTTAAGCCAATGCTATTAACAATCTAATAATAAAAAATGCTATTTTAAAGTTTGTATTTTCAACACTAGCACACTTAATACCCAAACCTCCTTCCTCTTTAGGTGTAGCAATTTTTTCCCACCTCACAAGATGAATACCTCTACTAGAGTCCCCTTTTCCCCAAAGAAAGTTGCTGATTTTTTTGTTGAAGGATTTGAGAGTCTTTTCAGGAATGAGCATACACTGCATATTGTAGTTAAGGAGAGTGTTGAAGACAAAATTCACAAGGCAGAGTTCCCAGCCCTAGATAGAAACCCTAGATAGAAACTTGGGCTTCCACGTGGCTAGCTTTGAGTGGATTTTTTGAGTTATGAACTCCACTTTTGCTTTGGAAGGTCTGGTGCTAGATATTGGAAATCCTAAATAAGGACTCAGAACTTCAGTTTCGATGTTGATATAATCAGAGAATAATTTTTTATCAGCAAGAGAATTGTTTTTTTTGAGAAGAAGACCTTACTCTTAGCATTGCTTATAGCAAGAGTAGTGTTTTTTGAGAAGAAAACTTAAATAAGGACATATCACTAAATTGATCTAGCACGTGCTTTAGCACCATATTTTCAATTGAGGTTTCCCCAAAAAGCAAAATATCATCGGCAAAAAGCAAGTAGGAGATCAGATTAGTCTTTTTCCCCATATATAAAGGAGTCCATACCTTTTTATGAACAACTTCATGGATCAACTTGGAAAGTATTTTCATAGCAATGATAAAAAGGTATGGTGACATGGGATCGCCTTGGCAAATTCCTTGGAGAAGCTATGAGTATGAATGCCATTAACAAGCACAGAAGAAGACACCGATGAAATACAACTCAAAATTAGCTTGATGCGGGGGGGGGGGGGATTAAGACCAAAATTTGTACGGTAATCACGCACAAAATGCCATTTAATTTGTCATAGGCTTTTTCAAGGTCTAATTTAAGAATAAACCACCCCTTTCTACTTTTCCTATTCCTCATGGAATGAAGAATTTCATTGACAATAATGACATTTGTCTCTGTACCCCTATCTGGAAGGAAGCTATTTTGGTTTGGGGAAATTCTACTAGGAAGAAAAACCCTTAACCTATAAGCAAAGATGTTTGCCACACTTATATATATGGTATTGCTAAGACTAATTGGCCGATATCTTAGCAAAAATTAAATAGCTTAGTATACAGGAGGAATCACTCTCTCATCATAATTAAATAGCTTAGTAATAAAGAAATTTAAAAAGCTTAGTATCTTCATTAAATATATCTTTTGCAAATTCTTTTAAACTTTTAATGTGGTTTTTATTTCCTAACAACCTTGATTCCTTGCTTTTTTTTTTGATATCTTCTTTAAGAGATGGAGATCTTTTGTGGCCTCTGTCTTTGGATATGTTATGTAAATTTTCATATAGCCTTGTTGATTATAGGGTTACTATGTTGGCAGGTATTGATGCTATTGGTGGTGTTCGATTGCCGTCTGGATTTTGTGGTATCATTGGATTTAGAGCGTCACATGGGTCTATTTCACAATCAGGGATTATTCCCGTCTCACCAAGTCTTGATACAATAGGTATTTGTTTATTAGTTTCTTGTTAAATATTTATTTATCTATCTTATTTAGTTATCATGTGGTTGAGATACCTAGAGAACCATACTTACAAAGTGGAATCTCCAGGAAGATGATGTTATGAAATTGATCTACTTTAGTAAAGCTTTGTGCCTAAGACTTTTAAAATAAAGATTTGGTGATTTCAATCCCAAACTCTTGATTTGTTTCTTGTCTAAAAATGAAAGAAACGATATGTTACATTAATGGAACTCATAAGATGTACAATTACTCGATGTTAATTTGAGTAGGTTTGGTCAACACTTAAAGTCAACATATCTTTGACCTATCCATATAATGTTTTATGTTAGATTATATTACTATTTTGATGCGAGGTTAGTAGGGTGGTGAAGGACTCTTGATGTGCTAAAAAGCTACTATGCATTATCCTAGTCCAATTAGGATAATTCGTATCTTTTAAAAATGTTTTATTATGTGGCTTTATTAGTTTATGAAGGATTGATTTTTACGTGTAAAAAAAGATGTATTTTATCATCTAAAAAAAAGGATGTATTTTACTATTTTGGGAGGCTTAGCCTAGTTAGGTGTTTATTTTCTATGCTAATTAGGATTCTTTGTTAGATTAATCTAGGATTTATGTTGCCTGCATACAGGGCTTTAGGATGTTATTTTATGTGTGTAATTAAGATAAATAGATTCAAAGATTTGTGATAAAAATTATGACAGTAGGTGAAATGCTTATTTGACCAAATCTTGCAATTCTAGTTTGGTTTATTATTTGGTTTGTTAGATCAAATCGTTTAGTTTAGGTCTGTTTGACTCTAAATCAAATACCTATATTTTGTGAAGACTGTTTGTTGTACCAAAATCATATTATTAATCAACTGGGGACTGTTTGGTTCATTACTCATAAAGAAATGGAATCAAGAAATCGAAAGGAAAGGAAAGTTGGCCAAACCCACTAATTTCCCTAGCATGCTTGGTTCAAGAAGGTTAGGAAATACATTTAGTCTTATGGGAGTTTTGTGTTGAATGGGGACTATCAATCTGACATGAGGTATGACTGAACAAGTTTGTCATTACCCTTGCTCAGATAGCTAGATGTAATATTGAATAATTAAATGATTTGGTTCACGTGATTTTTTTAAAATCATTTTCATAATTGATTTTTATTTTTTTAAAACTGTTGTGTCTTTTTATTAGAAGAAACTTTTCACTATGTGTCTTTTTTCATTTTGTTCTCCTCACTTTAAAAAATCTATCATTAACTTCTCAATTTTTTTTGTTTGACTTACTACCCAAGTACCCATTTGTATATTACTCCCTCCGTTTTTAAATACTTGCTCCATTTTCCTTTTCCGACCGTTTTGAGATACTTGCTCCATTTCTTTATTTGGAATAATATTGAATAATTAAATGATTTGGTTCACGTGGTTTTTTTTAAATCATTTTCATAATTGATTTTTATTTTTTTTAAAACTGTTGTGTCTTTTTATTAGAAGAAACTTTTCACTATGTGTCTTTTTTCATTTTGTTCTCCTCACTTTAAAAAATCTATCATTAACTTCTCAATTTTTTTTGTTTGACTTACTACCCAAGTACCCATTTGTATATTACTCCCTCCGTTTTTAAATACTTGCTCCATTTTCCTTTTTCGACCGTTTTGAGATACTTGCTCCATTTCTTTATTTGGAAAGCTTTTACAATATTTAATTAATTTCTCTCACCAAGTGGACCCAACAATATTAATTTTATATTCTCTCTCCTTCAATTCTCTCCACTACTTTTGTTTTTGTTTTTTACAATTTTTTATTCTTCCACCAACCCCACTACCTTCATATTTTATTACTCTATCCAATTTCTCCTAAAACTTCGCGAATGGAGAAATAGAGCAAGTATTTAAAAACGGAGGGAGTATTATTTTCCACTCACTTCTACTTTGTTTCATTTTGGCAAATCTCCTATACTAGCTTATCACTCTTACCCTACCTTTTTTTTACATTTTCCCGTTCTCTCCCCTACCTTATTTACCTTTCTTACACTCACCCATCTTTTTACTCTAACCCTTATATTTTATCCACCTTTTTTCATCCACACATTCACCTTTTCTAAAATTTTTAAAGTATGTTAGTAGTTTACTCTCATTCCGTTTGGGGTTGTTTTGGAAAGTTTTTAAAGTATGTTAGTAGTTTACCGTGAATATGCATTCCTAAAATTAAGAGGAGAATTATTTGAGGAGTTAGTATATTTATATTGGCAACTAAATTATTCAATTGTTTGAATTTCACAGGTTTTTGTGCCAAGGATCCTGACGTGCTACGGCGGGCTGTTTATGTTGTGATGAAACTTCAATTTTCAGCTCAGAGAAGTCCTAGGCAAATAATAATTGCTGATGACTGCTTTGAGCTGATTAAACTTCCTGTTGATCAAGTGATTCAGCCTGTGATTAGATCTACGGAGAAGTTGTTTGGAAGTATGTTTTCACATCCTTTGTGTAGTTGTCTGTCTTATATTGATATAGTCATTGAAATTTGACCTAATATTGCTGTATAATATTATTATAGATCACTGTCTCACTGATAATGTAACAATGCCACCCCTTCCTTTCCTCTACATTTTAATCCTTTTATTGTCTGTTTTTACGTTAGAATTTAATGTTAAGGGAATCCTTCTGATCTCTCTATAGTTGTTGAGGAGCCTGTTAACCTCTTAATTGCTGCTCTGTTTAATTCACATAAAGGGATGAGGATTTAACATGTGTATTTTCTGGTTGTCTTACTGAGGCAGTGAAAGCACACTCCGTGGATTCTAGTTGTGATTAGCATGGCATTGCTGACTAAAGGTGGCACAAGGGACTGTAGGGATCTAAAGGTGTTACGTAATAGCCTGTCTATAGCTTGTGAAATCTACAGGGACAGGGATGCATGATGCTATATGCAAGTGTATACTTTCCCAGGGATAGAAGAATCAAATATAGAATTAAATATTTTCAGTGAAGTGCTAAATATGATTAGAGAGACTGAATGTAGAGATTGGATTTCTAGTTGTAGATAATTTTTGAGTATTAACTTTTGGTATAAATTGATTGGGAAGCTCAGTGGGTTTTAATTAGGCCCTTTATTCAAAGCATCCCCTGATGCCAGCTTCGCCAATGCTGGTTGAGCATTTCTACCTTTGTTAGGTGCTTCAAAGTGTAATTGTTTAGGGTGAGATACTAACATGTTTACAAATTGGGATGTCATATTGGGGTCCTTAAAGTCTATCTATGTTTGAAAGTTCAGGGTATGGTTTTTTTTTTTAGTGGATCAACTCCCTATGGGGCCCTTGTCGGTCTCAGACAGTGGCGGAGGGAGGGGGGTACAAGGGGGGACAACTGTCCCCCCACTTCAATAAAAAAAAATTAGTTAAAACTAATTATGTGCAGCAAAAACCATAAGAAAAAGGGTTTGGTTCAATGGTTTCAGGGCTTACTAGTAGTCTCCATGGTCATGGGTTCAATCCCTTTGACCAACATTTTTTTCTTCTTATTTTTATTTTAAAGTTTTCCTCTTTTCTTGCATGTTTCTTTACTTCACACATTCAATTAGAAGTAATACATAGTACTACTTAATGGCATCATGTTCTAACTTTTAAATTACCATAGTAATTTACATAATTTATTTTTTTATTTTTTTTTATATAAATGCATACATTACAACCCTAAATTATTGGTTATAGTAGGAATTTCGGGTAAAGGTGTTTGGTTTTATTATATATCTCAATATAAATTAAATTGTCACGGGTTTAAAAACTTTGAACCTATGGATCCGCTATTGACCAAATTTGAATAAGAAATTGTTTATTTGTTAGGATTATCGTGAATTAGAAATCACATTTATGAATTATTTGATAATTTTGATTGTATATTACTTTCAAAACAAAAATGAATATTTGAAGGTGAAGTTGTTATTGTAAATATGCTTTTTTTTTTTCAATTTTTGGACTGTATAACTAAGAAATTTGGATTTCCAGGTTGTAAAACTTATAAATATTAAGCAAAGTCCCTACAATTTCTTGTATGTTTAAAAGGTTTGTCCATTTATAGAATGTACGCCACCTTTAGTCCGTCCCCCTAGGTGAAAAATCCTGGCTGCGCCACTTTTCTCAGAAATTAGTATATTTAATAAATTCTGAATTGTGATAGTTGCTGACAGTCTTAGTCCGCAATATCTCTTTTCTGGTTTCTTCCTCTTCACTTATCACCTATCTCTCTCTATTCCCCCTTCCCTCTCTATTCATATGTCTTGGGAATGTTATGGGCTTTATTTGGTTTCAATTGTACTCTTCTCGACTCTCTAGATTCCGAGACTTCCTTAGGCTATGCTTTTCTTGTATAGTATGATTGACTCGCTGGTTTTCTCTGCCCCTCTTCAGCATCTTAAGACATTGTTTAGTTCAAATCATTTTGAGTCCTCATTCTTTCTATTCTTACCTTGAAAGTTCATTCTCTCTTTGTTTCATGTTGGCTTTCGGAAAATTTAAGGCGTGACGATAGCATGTAGATTCAATCTATATTAATACCAATTCTCTAAATTATCATTGAAGTAATTTTGACATGAGGAGGTGCACTTAATATTGTTTCAAGTGCGATGACTAGTGATGAAAAAAATATTACGGTATCATCTATCTTGTGCCCATTGAATAAGAAACATCTAAAAAGGCAAAGTACAGAAATTTCTTGTTAAAAATTTGTGCTCAAATGTTGGTTTTAAGTTCTTAGTTGTTGCAGCATCATCATCATGATTCATTTTATGTAACTCTGTATCCATGAATTTAATTAGTAGTATTTCAGGGCAAGTAATAAAGCATGAAAATCTCGGAGCATACTTAAGTTCAAAAGTTTCAAGCTTGTTGGAATTGTTTGCTAAGAAAAATAACGATCAAGTGAAGACATCTACAATAAATCTGCTTGCACATGTGATGCAGTCCCTTCTAAGGTATTCATATCGTCTAATAGCTCGTTAATTCTGCATGCTTGTAAAATTACTTCATATTATTATTGTAAATTATGTGGAGAATATCTATCATGACAGAGTTTAGTATTTTTTTTTTTATTGATAATACTTGGATATCCTTATTGCTGTTTGCAATAGTACAAATGTTGATGCAATTCTTATATTTTAATACACATTTCATTAGTTTGTTTTTGTTATCGATTCCTGCATAGATATTGAAATTGTATGTGCTCTATTGACATTATGCCTTCAGGATTGATAAGATTATTCTTCTAATTAGATTTACTAAAAAACAAAATAGGGTTTTTCCTAGGAGCTTTCTATAGTCAAATTCTCTGAGCTTTCTATAGTCAAATTCTCTCATTCTGAAGAACGCAGATTAGCATCTCTTTATACTGTATCTACGGCAAAGGATTTAACTGAGCCGGTTTTCACTTGCTGATTGTGGTGACCCTTAGCTTTGAATCTCATGTTTTTTTTCCATTTTGTCTATTATTGTTCCTTCCGTCCCCAAGCGTTGCTCCATGGATGGAATTTGTGCATCCCACTGCACCATTTTCCACCTTGAAAACCTTAATTATACAGAGTTAAAATTATAAAAAAGTCAATATTACAAGAAGACGAATCTAATCATACTCCACATGACTATGTGTTTATTTACGAAAATCATAATTTGAGGTTGAAGAGGATTTGTGAGATTAGTTTCATAAACAAATGATGCAATATTTAGATTACACAGGAAGTGTTAATTTGGATTTTTTTTTTTTTATCCATTTTAGTAATGTATCTTGGATTAGGTGGGTTCTTTTATCCAAATTCTGTTATCCATGTTAAAAATGTATTTCTGACTGGGTGATTGATCCATCAAGTGTAATGTACTATTAGTACTAATATTACTATCTTTGTGTAATAGCTCTGGTGTTTTTTCCTTGCCCTTTTCTATGAAGATTAAGTGTTTTTTTGGACATGTTCTCTTTCTCTAATGGTAATGATAATAATGAAGACTCAATGATTTTCTTTTAGTATAGTTTACTTTATCTGAAATCTGATTACAGGTATGAGTTCAAGGAAAATCATGGAGAGTGGATTAATTTGGTGAAACCTGATGTAGGTGCTAGTATTAGAGCATTGTTTCATGAAGGTAATGTGATTGATGAGAGTGAGATTCAAAAGATGCACCGAGTCAAAACTGAAATGCGGCTTGCACTCAACTCTCTTTTGAAGGTATGGATCCCCATTTGATTATATAATATCCATGTTTAAACAGTTGTTGTCCCACTTTCTAAAAAATTCTTCTCTAATAACCAAGTAAAATAACTATAATAAGACCCCCTTAAAAAAAGTGGTACATGGTCCTTTTGCAGGGTTCTTAAATTGGAAGATTAATGGGCATAAGAATTGATGGAAAAGTAATCTAAAACCAAGTATTAGCCTATTGGCTGCTCAAAATTATGTAATTTTGAAATAGGCGTACCGGTTTGATTGGCTGATCACATTGCAGGCTGACTTTCAATGGTCAAAATTTTTTAATTCTTGTCAAATCAGGCTTGTTACAATTGTTGAAAAGCCATTGGGACTAACTTTTACCTTTAACTTGAAATTGTCCTTTATGTGTCAAGTGCTTTGGAAGATATACCTCTACAATGTAGACCCTTTGCAAATGAATTGCACTTTGCTTTCTCTATTCCATAAACCTTTGTTTCTTTAGATCCACATTCTTGAACTCCTAGGCCATTTGCTTGCCTTTAGGTGTTTCCGGGTGTTCCTACTCATAAGATTAAACAATAGGAGTTCGAGTACAAAATAAAAAAAAAAGCCAACAAATGAATCGAAACTGGCACAAACCAATAGAAGCAGGTTGAACATCTAATGAAAAAAAACAGAAGAAAACAAGGGGAAATATGCATTGAAAATTTGTGAGATGGTTGACAACTTGACATACACATCCAAGATTTAGTTCTAACTTTCAACTTGATCAGCTGCTTTAGTGGATTTTTCCCGCATCTTACACAAAAGAAGGACACATGGAAAGAGAGAAAGGGAATTGAGGATGTTGATGTAGTGACTTGACGTGGAAAGAGGGAAACGAAGACATTCCTGACATTTGACAATTCTCGTTATTGCCTCATTTTGGACGTTTCAGCCCTATGTAGCTTCTGGATGAGGAATAGCTGGTGTGAGTCTGGCTTGGCTAGTCATATGGCTTGAACGGATGACCAATAAGCAAACCTTAATGACCACCTCCAGGAAAATAGAACATTCCAATTCCTCAATCACTCATGAATGTCTGTTCTATGCGAATAGTTTCATAAAGATGGTTAGCTAGACGCCAATGAAGGCCAATATACTGGATGGGTGATTGTAAACACTTCAGCTTGCTTATACACAGAGTAGAAGTTACACTTTATTGCTCTAATATATATTTATGTGGGCCAGATTGGCGACTATGGAACTAGTAATAGTGATTGGCGAGTATGGAGCTAGTAATAGTTATTAGCGACTATGGAGCTAGTTTGAATTATTTGCTGAAGTGTGATAATGCCTGACTACCTGCTGACTTATCTACTATTGATGAATTATTTGAGCAGGATGATGGATTGCTGGTTATCCCTACATTTGCTGATCCACCCCCAAAAGTTGGTGGAAAAGAGATGTCATCAGAAACTTATTTGAGCCGTTTAAATAGTCTACAATCTATTACCAGCTTATCAGGATGCTGTCAGGTGAGATATTGGCTTTTTTTAATCTCTCTCTCTGGCTTTTATTTAATAATTTTTTATTTTTATGTGGTGAATTGTGATTGTTCAGGTTATCATCTTCCTTATATGATTTGTTTTGTCACTCAATGCAGGTTACGATACCTCTTGGATATCATAACAAGTGTCCACTTTCAGTGTCGTTTATAGCAAAGCATGGAGGTGATAGATTCTTGCTTGACATTGTACAAACCATGTATTCAAATATGCAGGAGCAAGTAGAAGTTGTTTCTAAATCAAAATCTACCTCCAATTCATACAGCCGGGAAAGATCTGCAGAGCTTTCGAAAGAAAAGGTCAAGCAGCTAATTCCCATGTTTATTTTCTTGTTTATGATGGTATAATTGGCTGTAAATTAAAACTTAAAAATGATAGCCCATGGTCAGGTCTGAGTTATTTTACTTGATTCTCATGAATAGAAGATTGGGGATACAGATTTCAGGAGACTGTTAATTTTCCCCTAGGGAAGCTAATCAAAATGAGAAGATACCCTACAAGGCTACAATGTGAATAAACCAAACTTAAATTTAGTGCCAGCCCTTGTCAAAATTTAATATTGGCAAAATAAAACCTACTCTAAATTCATTTTTTTAAGGAAATGTTCACTTTTGCTACCACTCAAACACCCCTCTTTCACTTTTGCCATCCATCTAAAATTTTATTTTATTTTTCTACCACCTAAATTCACATAATTTAAATTTCACTACCACTTAACGGAATCTATTAGGTCTGTGTTTAATATTATTCAAAATAAAAAAAAAATAAAAAAATCTAATAAATAAAAATAAAAAACACAGCATTGCCTATCCCCTACCGTTAGCCACCTTCCCCCCTACCATTTGCAACTCGCCACCACCTTCTCCCACCCATTCGAACCCTAAACAACCCAGAGCCACTACCTAAACGACTAAACCCACCACTCACCTAAACCCTCGTGGCTTCTCCTCTCCTCCTTAAAAACCCTCAATTCTTCTCCATACCGACACACTCAAACCTAGATCTACCACCTTAACCCACCTAAAACCACCCACCGATCCGACCGAATAACCATCCGAACTCGCTCACCTAAAACCAACCACCACAAACGGTCAAACCCACCATCACAACCCAAAACTTAAAAAAAAAATCGAAAACTAAAACAAGAAAACATACCTTTAAAACTGAAATTGGCCTCAATTTCACCTCGAATTTGGTTTACTAAGGCCAAATTCGACCATGAAATCTCTAGATGTAGATTTCATAGTTGAATTTGACTTTAAAAACCATTAATTCGCATGAAAGATGGCATGAGAAGAGCATGAGAAAGAGAGGCGTAAAGTAGAAGGAGAAAGAAAGAGAGCAGTGAGCGTGAGGAATAGGAGGACAGAGAAAGGAAAATAAAGAGGGGTGACGGCTTAGGGTTTCGGCTTTAGGCGCTGGCCGCGGGCAAGGGGTGAGGGGGCTAGGCGTTTTTTGGTGGCTAGTTTTTTTTTATTTTATTTTATTATTATTTAATTATTTTTTTGGTGGCTGATGGGGAGGCAGCTAGGGTGGCTGAGGAGGAAGGGGTGGCTGAAAGGTGACAGTGAGGGTGGCTGGATCTCACTAACGGAAATAATAACAGAAATTTTTAAGTGTTAGTGAAATTTAAATGATGTGATTTTAGGTGGTAGCAAAATAAAATTAAATTTTAGATGGGTAGCAAAAGTGAGACAGTGGTGTTTGAATGGTAGCAAAAGTGAAAATTTCCTTTTTTCTTTTTTTTTTATTACGCATTTCAATCTTCTACTAGCTTAGATTTTTTTCTTAAGACTGGTTTTGATTTTGAAAATGCTTTTTCTTCCAACATGCAAACTATTGGCAGTAGCATCAACCTTATAGCCACATTAGAATTTCTCATATCACTTTAAATTCTTTTGTTATTCAACCATCTTTTCATTCTTATTTTATAGATGCATGATACCCAACTCTTGAATAAAATTTAAGAACTGCTATTTTACAAAAAATATGCCTTGCCTATGTGATGCATGCACACCTTGCTTGCACCTCATTTGTGGTGTCTCTGAGCACCTTACCCATATTAAACCTAAGATGATTCTCTCTCATTGTATTTTTATAATGTGTTTCCTTAAATTAAAAAGATAGCTCTTACTTTTTCTCCTTATCTAATCTCCATTTCATGGACTTTTTGTTTCCATTGATTGCTACGAATACGTATAGAATAGAGGGAAATCAGCATTATCTTCTTCTTGCTAGACTTAAAAAGTAAAATGTACAACCTGAAATCAGTTGCAATGGGCCTTTTAACAAGTGACATTCATCATTAGGCAACACATCACAAAGCACCTAATCTTTAGTTGAGCCAATATATGAACTATGAAGCTTATATAGTCAAAGGGGTAGAGTTAAACTAGTATAAAAGGGCTATGAAAGAAACATTGGTGTGAGAACTCTTCTTACTATGTAATTCCAAAAAGAAGTTTTGTTTTTGTTTTTTTGTTTTTAAAACACAAAAAGAAGCACTTTAGGGTGCTAGTGATTAATGAAATTTAAGCTTCCTACCTATTATTGTCTCTTGGTTTATTTCTGATAGTGTCGTTGCATGTTTAAAAGCTCATAGGAGTACTTGTGAGTACCTAAAACATATTAAACTTGTCGGACTTGCATGTGCCTCCTGGACCGTCTTCGCCGTCACAAACCCTGATTGACCCTCAACTCCAACCTTGTCGTCAATAGGCAAGATTGACTTCCAACTTAACACTCCCTTGTGCTGCTTCATGATCACAAGCCCTTTTGGCACGTGGCTTATGCCATCGTCGCTAATTGGAAATAAAAGGCAAAATTCTGGTGTCAAAACACTTGGACGTGACATGTCTCCATAGGGCTTTCTTTAGTAGTCTAAACTCGACGAAGTGGTTTCTTATTATTGGCTTTTATGTTGCTACATATTTCATATGACATCTTGGTGTAATTACCTCTTATGTGTCAATACTAAATGTCTAAATCAGTTACATCATCAAGGACCAATGGAGTTACAATTAGGCCTTTTGGAAGAGCTTATGTTCCAGACCACCATTATATCTAGCTTGTGCTCTATGATTTCTTCCAAGTCACGCACACATCATCCAACTTTTCAAGATTCCCAGTTTAAATTTACATTGACATAAACCCCTGCAACTAGTATTGTAATTGAATACAAGTTTTTGTCAAGTAATCTCTAGGTGCAAAATCTGCCTTGTATGTTCCTTTAACTTTCTCATGATGTAATCTTAGGTTACCCTTTTCTTCTTTCATCATTCAAATCATCGAAATATTTTGATGCATATTTTAATTTAACAAATGCTAACTTGCACCTGTTAGTATCCTCATATTTCTTTATTTATTGGCAATTCTACGAAGTATACAAGAAGGCGTTTAGTATTTTACTTTTGTATTTTATTTATTTACCTTTGAGGCCCGAAAGGCCATACTCGATGCTTCCATCTTAGGCTCAATCTTGATGAGGCCTCTCATTGCACCTCCTCTCTGCCAAAAAATTAAAATAAAATTTAATAAAAAAATTTGCTTTTGCTATAAAGGTTCCTGAAACAAAATATTGGAAGTATCAGGATGTATGAATTGAATGTAAAAGTTGCTACATCAAGCTCCATCCTTGGAATGGTCAGCTCATACACGGTTGTACTCGTTTTGCTTCTTTAGAATGTTTCAAGCATAGATCTGATCATCTGAATGTGATCAATATAATTGTAATTGGGTAAGTGATTTCAACTGAACCTGAGGTTGCTTGGCCTGTACTTTGGAAATCCTAATGGGAGTTCAATGACTGGAAAGGATGTTCTTATAGAATCCGTAGCAATGTTCTATTTCATACTATCTTTCCCCAACACTTTTTTTTTTTTTTAACATTTAAACAGGGAAATCAAGCATTCAAAGAAAAGCAATGGCAAAAGGCTATTGGTTTTTATGGTGAAGCAATCAAGCTCTATGAAAGTAATGCAACATACTACAGTAACCGAGCTGCAGCATATCTTGAGCTTGGGAGGTACTTATTAAATATTTTGGAAACAATAGCTAGGTTTCTCAAACCGGTATATTTATTATATACTTTCCTTTTCCAGTTTACCCAAAAAAAATTCTTGACATTGTTTTTAATCTAATTGATCAAGTTAGAATATGTTACTCAACCAAAAGTACATTGCATTTTGGATCAATTGGAAATTTGTTTATAGCCTACTCTCTCCTCACCTTTACCATACTCTAGACTAGAGCCTTCCTAAAGGTATTTGGGTAACATTGTTGTTAATGTTGAAAATGGCTTTTGTAACAAAAGCCAGTAATTTATAGTTGTCAAAGAATTTATTTTCAATTAGGGAAAATACAACGCGTCTCCCGAGCAATTTGTATGATCTATGCCATATGGGTGACTAATTGCGCTTGTTTGTAAAATTAATTGAGATTATTGAGAAGCTAAAATAACTTGATGGTAATAGCTTGTAGAATCTAATGTACTAAAAGAAATTTTGGTCTAAGTTTCTTTACTATATACTTTCTCCCCCAATACCCACTCACCTTTTAATTTATACAGAGCAAAGTTGTTATTTGGGTATAAATTTTTGCTAGATGTTTAATTGTTTATTATATAGCCTCTGTAATGTCATAATGCTCACCCAATGCTAATTCTCCTGGCGTCAGCTTTGTCCAAGCAGAAGTGGATTGCACGAAAGCCATAGAACTTGATAGGAAGGTATGTAAATTCTGTCATAAAAGGTCCAACCACCTCTTGTGTATCACCTGTTTAATTTTTGAAACTTCTGATTGTTATATATTACCAATAGCAGGTTTTGTTGTCCCAGTCATCATTTATTCTGATGAATAAGGCATTACGTTTTAAAATATCTTTGTTCGTCTACAGATTAAATGATTTATTGATGAAGTTATCGCTGGCTAGAATTAAGTTTTAGTTTTTTGAAGATAACTAAAGAATGCCTTCTGAAATCACTACCACCTATAGTTATATGAAACGAGGAAATTGTAGACACCTTCATGGGGATTTTCTGTAACAATTTTGCATAATTTGTTAGAAAATGGCTTTTGTAGCTTATTTACTAAGTTTTCTCAGTTTTGTTTAAATGTTTTAGTTTGAGAATGACACAGTTTTCAAGCGAGTGTTTGATTGTGAAATCTCAATACGGTGACTGAAATGTTAAAAGTATTTTGCTCCGTTAAATAGGTATGTCAAAATATTGACATTTCATTAGCTGAGACCAAAACAATGCTATGTAGGTATAGTGGTATACTCTTGTACAAGGATACTTTTCTTTGTTATACATGTATATATAAGTAGAGAAGCATTAATTTTCCTTATCACGGGAAAAATTGAAGTATATTCCATTTCCATTTGGAAGGTCAAGTATCGTACATGGATACGAGCATTGTAGGTTTGGACGAGGCCACTGCTATGGATGACGTAGCTGAAGTTTATGTACTCATCATGGCAGTAAATGGAAGTTGCTTTAATTTTGGCATTTTAGGTTTTTGTATAATCTGTAACATATGGGTTGTGGGAGGCAGAAAGTGGAGGAAGGACATGTTAACATTTGTGTTTTTGAGTTCTGAGAGGTTGTTACCTTTAGGAGTAGAGGTATGTGAGGTCGTATGCTAGGTGGTTCGTTAGGTGGCACATGTCTTAGGCCATAAGGATGTACTTAGCCAATGATTAAGAGGTACATACATATATATATATATATATATATATATATATATATATATATATATATATATATATATATATATATATATATATTTTTGGTGCAATAAAAACTAATTCTTGAAATATAGCACATTTTATACATTTAAATTCTGGACAAGTACTTCTGAACATTTATCCAATCTGAACAAATTGTCAAATATGAACATTTGCATGGACAATTAACATTTTGTAGCAAATCAAATCCAGAATTTTATGTGAATTACTGTGAAGAATTTAGACCATAGTTATAATATTCTCAAATAATTAAGCGCAAGTTCTTTGTGTTTGAATTGCTCCTAGTCTTGAGAATTTCATTTCCCTGTTTTTTAAATTGCCATCTTGTTTGTATCCACAGAATTAAAGTAAATTGTTTCTCAGCCTTTATATGTCGTAATTGTGCAGAATGTGAAGGCATATTTACGTAGAGGGACAGCAAGAGAAATGCTTGGCTATTACAAAGAGGCAATTGAAGGTGTGTTGCAATCTTCCATTTACACCCCCTCCCCGCCCTGCCAAAAAAAAAAAAAAAAAAAAAAAACACCTGCATGGCCCCTAATAACCCCCCTTTTTTTAAGGAGAGCTGTGTTTGCCTCACGAGTATTGCTTTTGTTGTATGGAAAGTGAACTATGGCTTTGAATTTTAACACTAGATACTGAGCTAGAAGTGACTTTTGTAGAAGTTTTTCCAGTTAGCAGCATGTTGTCATCTGTAGTGTTTTTGTTATACAATTGCCAACTTATGATTCTTATAGTAAATCATAAATGATGCATAGTAATTAGAGATACCATTGTTCAGAAGGAATTGCCAAATTGCCCCAACATTTAGGGCCTGTTCTCATCAGATTATTTTCAGTTCTGTTCAGTTCAGCTCTAATAAGTTCGGTTCAGTTCAGCTCAGCTCAGCTCCTAAAAATTTCCTTATAAAATATTCAGTTAAGTTCAACTCTAATAAGTTCAGCTCAGCTAATTTCAGTCAATGAGAACAAACCCTTAATACCTAAAGATATGACAAATTTCTAACTGTCCTAGGTTAATTATTTCCACTCATTCTGTTACTCAATCTAAGTAGAAAAATCCAGTGAGTTTAAAGTGCTTTGTGGCAATCTAGCATGTGCTGTTATTCAGAAAATAACGAATAAAATAATGTCTTGTTTTGCAGATTTCAGATATGCCCTTGTTCTTGAACCAACAAACAAAAGAGCAGCTGTATCCATGGAAAGACTAAAGAACTTATTCCAGTAGGCTTAGGACTTAGGAGGATTAAGTTTTCTTCAAGCTTCAACTTTGAAGGTGTTGAAGAGCGTACAACATTTTCTTAAGGGGTCAGTATTTTGGTAAGACTGCCTGGATTCTCACTCCAATAGTTGTCTGGTATGGCTGAGGTAAGTTGGGCAGCATTTTGTCTTGGGGGCATTCTGGAAGGCTGACAAGTATTTTTCGCCTGAGATGAGTAGTATATACGGCATCTTCTCTCATTTGAGCAATTTGTTCCCAGAAGTTATCTGCAGACTAGTCCTAGTAATTTTGTATGCAACTTTATAGTGAGTTATTGTGGCAGCCTGTTGATATCGTGCTCAAATACAATTTTTAAACTAAAGTTTTCAATAATCCTTCACAATTCTCTTCATGGAGATCCTCTGAATCCTAATTTTACACTAGCAATTGCGGGTCTGCTGTGTCTGTTATATCATAGGCTACAGCTGCATTGTGATTAGTTTATCGTAATTCTATTGATCTGATTCGAATCAAACTGATTTAATTAATCTGACTTAGGTTGCTCTAATTTAAATCCGAGCACGATTTTTATATTTAATTAAGAATATAAATTTGAGAATATATTTGAGAATATATATATATATATATATATATATATATATATATATATATATATATATATATATATATATATATATATATATATATATATATATGAAGTAAAGAAGTTACAGTCGACTTTTATGAGATTTAAATGCCCAATGTTTATGAAGTATGTTATTTTTTATGTCAACATCATTATATTAAGGAAATTTTGACAATTATAATTTACTATTGTTTCCATTTTAGCAATTACCACCTACTATTATTTTTTTAAAAAAACTACCACTTATTTTTTTCTAAAACACCAAAAGTTCCCACTTAATTGGATTTCAATCACCTTATGATGTCATGTGGGTCCCATATAATACCTTTCCTCCCTTTTTCCCTCCCATTTCTTATTTCTCACTCGATACTTGTTTAATTTTTTGCTGAAAGAAATTGAAAACATTGCAATTCACTTTTCCAAACCAACATTAAGAAACAAGAATTGTTGTTGCTGCAACATGACAATGATTCCCCGAAGAAGTATTGAGTGTAAAATAGGAAATGAGAAGTAAAAAGGGAGGAAATGTATAATGTGGGGCCCACATGGCGTCATAAGGTAGTTGAGAATCAACTAAGTGGGAACTTTTAGTGTTTCAAAAAAAAGTAGGTAGTAATTTTAAAAAAAAAATAGTATGTGGTAATTGCTAAAATGGAAACAATAGTAGGTGGTAATTGTCAAAATTTTCTTATATTAAAAAATGGAAAAATACACTTTCATAATCTCAATTTTGTTCGATTTACTTTAAATACTCCTAAATTTTAATTATTCTGCAATAATTTTAACTTTACATTCATTTTCTTTCTTCAATCCCAAACCGGAGAACAAAGTTACTTGATACGTGTCTAAGCATGATTGATGAGGGGAAGGGGAATGTTTCCAGTGTGGGGGGAAAGAAAGGAGATCGGAATTGTGGGGTTTGGATCAAAGATGATGGTTCAGGGAAGGGGGATTGTAATATCTCGTATTTTTATACGTATTTTAATTAAAATAAGTATTTGGGAAGTATTTAATTAAATTGAATTATTTTATTTAAAGTAATTTAATTAATTATTTTAAATAAGTTTGAAAATATTTATAAAACGAAAGTTTATTTAATTAATTATTTTATTTAAGTTGAGGTTTAATTTAAGGAAAGTTTTATTTTAGTACCACTGAGGTTTTAATAGGGAAGGGATTAGAAAAAAAAATTAAAAGAGAAAATTTTAGCGAGAAGGGTTTCTAGAAAAGGGGTAGAAATATTTAACACTTGAGGCAAATCAAACTTTGCCCAGAGTGGAGAAAACCCAAGGTAAACTTCTCTCCCTTTTCTCTTTATTTTCTTTATTTTTCTTTCTCTTTATCCCCTTCCCCTTGTCTTTGGCACGGCCGACCACCACCATCACACCACTGGCCACCGGCGCACGACCATCAGCCGCGGCAGCAGCCTCACCGTGCCGTGGTGCCTGCTGCTGCTTGTATTCCCCGAAAAAAAAAATTAAATATTTATTTTAAAAACCAATTTATTCCTAGATCTAATTGTTGATTATGAGTTTTAGGATTTGATTTTTGATGTTTGATTATGAGTATTATGTTAATTAAATTTCAGATTTATGTTTTTAATTAAAAAGCCCAAATTTTTGAAACTCTAGGTTCTTGATTTATAAATTATTGAAGGGTTATGATGTATAATGGCTTAAACCTTTAATTAAAGTGTTTTAAGGCTTAATTACAACAACTTTTCATTAAAATATAATGCTGGAATTTTTGGTAGAGCATTAAAAATCAAGTTTCTTTAAGGAATTTTAATTACCCATTAATTGGGATTAAAGTATGATGTTTTAAATATAATTTCAGCTTATTTTAATTAAATTATGAGAGGTTTTATAATAGTATATATTGCTAGAAATTTGTGTAGAGAGGATTTTAATAGAGGATGCCTCAGTTTCTCATGATGAGAAACAAATTTTGTTTCTCACATGACATTTTCGTAAATAAACCAACAATTTTATTCAACTTTATTCAACTGTGGAGTCCACAATAATGAAAAAGTTGTTGATTTATTCACAAAAATGCCCCTATGAGAAACAAATTTCGTTTCTCACCATGAGAAACAGAGAATTTCCCATTTTAATACTCTTCTATGATCTTAAATTATAGGAGACTTTAAAATGAACGATTTCTATTAGTCATGGCGATTTTAAGATCGTATACAAGGTACGTTCGCATACTTAGCATAATGTTATTGATGTAGTAGTATGCTAAATGTGTTTAATTGATTACAAGTAGTATCATGCTAGATTTCGAATGGAAATTATGATTTGGATGTTATTGGTTATAGGATTATGAAACATGATTTATTTGTGATGGATTATTGGATGGAAAATTATAGTTTGGAATATTGTTTATGAACCACATATATATTTGTGGCATGGTAGAGAGCATGTTTAATCAAAATAAATGTTTAATTTGGTTTGGAATATTGAAAAGGAATTTTATTATGGTTCATATAATTTTTATTGATGATATAGGCATGAAGAAGGAGCTATTTAGGTGTCTTTGTACACGAGAAATGAATTATATTTTGGCGCCTTAGTGCACTTAAGGTGTTTTTAACACCGAGGGGAAAGAATTTGTGGTGCTTTATGCGTTTAAGGTGTCATTGGCACCGAGGTAGAAATAAAAAGGTTTCAACATTAAATTTTACGTGGTCACTAATTATTCAAGAATTAAATTAGTATGTTTGATTGTTTGAATAATTATTGTTGATTGAATGATTATGGTTTGAGAGTCATCACCAACTGTAATAATATGTGAATAAGGTAAAGTGAAAGAGATTACACACCAAAACTCTTGGAACATATACACCTTGAGTATAAACATGTGGGGGAAGTTATGGGGTTTTATATTTAAGCATAATTTCTACTGGAGTACAAGACGCTGTACATTCCTTTTATTATTATTATGCACAGGAATTCTGCCACCTATGAGTGGTTATTGATGCTTTCACGGTTAGTTCTCGTGTTAGTAACCTCAATTTATTGGGGGAGGTTAGGGGAAAACACGTTCGATGCATAGTCAACATTAAATAAATTATGTAGTGTCTAGTGAGGACTTTTACTGAATGTTATATGCTTGGAAAACAGGTGCAACAAGGTAAGTTGTGTGTTGATAAGAAATTATATGCTAGTGTGTTTATTACGCTTATGTACTCAGCTTTGTTGATTATGTGTTTTGTGTGTTTGTTGGCCTTGTCTTTATCTTGGCCCTATGATGACCTATTTTTAATGGAGAGTAGTGGAAACAAGTAGAGAGAAGCTTTTCAGGTGATGAAGCATATTCATAAATGAGCATGAGTGAAGAGCGCATCATTCTAGTTTCTATGAGTATATGATGTGTTATTGCTTTATTTATTTATGACATTGTTATTATGCATGACTAACATAAAGGTTTTGAGTTCGGTCTGGTTTTAATAAGGGCCTATAATGGTTCCATGTTGTAGGTTGATTTTATTTTATTTGGTTTGACTTTACTTTCGTTGATTGACTTTTCAAGTTGACTTGCTTTGAATGGTTTTGAAATTAGTCTTGCAATGTGTGTCTTTGATAGTTGCCTTAACCGTTTTTACGGTGGCGGTAATGTCTTAGATATTCTTATTTAAAGTTTTTAAACAAGGCAAAACATGTATTTTAAAATAAAGAAATTTTTAGGGTGTTACAGGGATTATTGGCTACGAAAGGGGGTGATTGGTTGGTTTTTTTTTTTTTTTTTTTTTTTTTTTTTTTTTTTCAGGTATCTGATAATCGGAATTGAAGAAAGAATATGCAAGTGAAAGTTGGACTATTGTAGAATAATCGAAAGTTGGGAGTATTTAAAGTAAATCGGATAAGATAGAGATTATTAAAGTGTATTTTACCTTAAAAATATAACTTTTTTATGAGATTTGGAGTTGAGTATGATATCTCGTTCTTCACTCACCTGGATTTTGAGCCAAACCTGATATTATCGACCAAGTAATGCCTTTAGTTTCTAATAAGCAAGCTTGACTCATTAGCACTCTTTAAAATCTGATTTCATGCCTTTATTGAATAGGCTCTACCGCTCTACTTTATAATTAAACACTAGCTTTGTGCCCGTGCAATACCCGGGTTGTTTATTGAATTTTAAAATAGAATTGTTTATCTAAATTATATATGTTATATGAATTTTCTACTCATGGATTAATAATCACTTGATATAAAATTTTACGGGTATTTTATTGATTAATAATCACTTGACAATCTAAAAAAATTAGAATTACTAATGTACAACGAACTAAAAAGAACGGTTGTCTAAAGTTGTAATCTCTTTTCATTTTTTGAACATCTAAGGAAAGACGGGTTGCATGTTAATACTTAAAAGAACGATTATATATAATATGTCTATTTGGTTTATTATTTTTGCCTTTTGTACCTCTCTAAATTCACCATTTTGTATTAAAAATATTGGTTTTTTTTAAAGGAAAAATATTGGTATTCTATTGAAAATAAAATTCTAAATCAAATTTTAATGAAAATAAACCTCTAAAATAACTTTTTTTTATCCTATTAATTAAATCTATTTAAATTATATTGAAAATAAAACTCTAAATGACTTTTTTTTTAATCTTATTTTACAAAAAAAATATTCAAATAAATCCTACATGTCTCATTATTAATTAATTGTCGCCTATGTGGCGTGACACTTGGCAAAAAGTTGGAGTGCCAAATGTCAAAATCTCGTGATCTGGCTAAAAGTTTAGTTTTATATATTAGTTATATGATGACTCAAACAAAAGACGATATTTCCTACAATAAGCTCTTCTTAAAAGATTATCGTTCTATTGAAAAGAATTGTGGCTTGACAACACGTGCAAGTAGCCAAGTATTACCTTAAGTCATTATTTATCA